GAGACGCAGGGGGCCAGAGAGAAAGAGAGAGAAAGAGAGAGAGAGAGAGAGAGGGGGTGGGTGGTTAGGTTGGTGAGCAGGAAAGTTGTCCGGGTAACCGACGCGGAAACGCGAGGTAATGACTACTTTTTCATATTTTAATTACGCAGTAATTAATTGAAATGTTTCCCCGTTCGCGAGGGCACTCGAGCAAAATGAGAGGCGAGTAACTCCACGGAGTCGACTTCGGCTTCGGCGCGTTTCTTTTTTCTTTTTTTCTTTTTTTTTTTCTCCATTTTTCCTCCCTTTCTTCCGGCCGACGCGAGGCCCTCTGTGTCTCTGCGGCGCTTCGCCCTGGAGAACACACGGCCGTTTCCTTTCCTTCGTTCTTTCACCCTTTCTCGCGAAATTAGGTGGAAGCCTTTTCACGAGGTTCGTTTCTCTTTTAAAAATTCCAGCGTGCGGCTAATTGTACCGTTAATGGCTTTAACGTGAAAGGATTTCTCTGATAGCGGCCTGTACCCGCGCCACCCCCTCCCCTCCCCCCTTCCTCTTATTATCAGCGAACGAGCTCGCGCGCGCAAGCACTGCTTTAAAGTACTAATTAAATTAGTTCCGTAAAGCGAAACTCGTCGGCCAGACTTTCGAGGCTATCGATTCCCAGCGATCATTAAAATAATTACGAACGTTCGCCGGTAATTGAACGGATATCCCGTTTGGCACCGTGAATTTCCGTCGCGTTATCGCGCGATCCTGTTTTCAGGGCACTAAATCGCGAGCCCCGCGATGTCCAACGAGATAGCTAAACCCTTCGTTCTCCCTTCGAAAGCATTCGCGATGTTTTCCAGCGAGTTAATCTTCAGTGGTCTCGTTGCGTCGGTTTCCAACAAGGTTATGCTCGCTCTCGTCCGGTATCCCGGGGACCGTTTCAGGCTAGCTGTCTCGATATCTCGAGGGCTGAGAAGGATGCTTCGTTACTCGTTATCTGACGCTGAAGCTCGTTGCTGCGCCGCGGGAACAATAGTGGTACGAGAAAAAAGTAAGAACGAAACGAAGAGAGAGAGAGAGAGATAGATACGCGGCCAAAACGAGAGGACTGTCGGGCGAGCTTTTGTTGGCGCGGATGCTTGCCTACGTGCAATTGTCATCTACTTGTTCCAGCCATTGTTTCCGGTAACTCTTTCGCGGTAACGAGGAGGAACCTCAATTAGAACGGTTTGAGGGCTTAAACGCCCAGAGGCTGCCTGGTTTTAAGAGGCAAGGATGCACCAACACCGTCGCGCGAACATTGTTTCCTAGCGAACGATAACTCGGTGATACCTATGGCTGTATCGGTGCGCGTACCACGTAGCCCGGGAACTTTCTTCCTCGGGATAATTACTAGGCATGCTCGAGGATATGATGCCATTATGTTACCCGCGGACCAGCCTTTGTTAACGTTGCTTCGCGTTCTCCGGTGAATCCATAGTATTATCACGATCCGGATGAAATCCTTCTGCTTTAAATATAAAGTACAACCATTAGAATAAACCTCTACCTTTGACCTCGATGAAATTGGTTTCAACTCCTGTGGCGAAAGACTTACGGTCTCATTTCTTGCACTGGTAGTGTCTCCCGATTGCAATTATAGCTCGCCTCGAATTACCATAGTTTCCCAGCGACCTGGAAAACTAGAAGTTTAAAAAAAAAATCAGAATTTTTGAGTTAGACACGGAAGCGGTAACGATTCCTGGTTCGACACACCTGTACAAGTCGGCCGTCGACCAATCACGCGACCACCCGGTCCGATCAATTGTGGGAGGATGAATAATAGAAACGGTAGCCTCTACCTCTTGTCTGTTATCCTGATGGGTAAACAAGACCACGCTTTGAAGCTCAAATTGAAATAAATCCTGTTATCCTTTGGACATTAACTCGTTCGCCCGCCGCTATCCCGTGAAAGCTTCGTGCCATTAAACCTCCTATTTAAGCCTCTTTACGATCCGCGAAACGCATCCCGTTCCCGAACAAGTAACGCAAAGGCACGTACAACCCGGATTATTCCGCGACGCGTACTTTCGAGCACTAATGACACGAAAAATTGTCGATTTTGCGGTGTGTCGGTCGAGTAATATCGAATCAATATTTGTTTCATTGACGGGTAGTAGGGGGGGGCGACTGCAGGGGATGCATGTTATGTACACCGTGTATGGGCACGTATAGGTACGGTCTGTTATCGGAAATCCATCCGAATATCTGGAATTTTTTTTCGGCCGGCACGCGCGACTCGTTTTATGATCGCCTGTGACGCGTAGTCGAAATTAAGATGTACGGAAGATGAGACGCGGACCGATAGAAAATAATAAACATTGACGAGCCGGCGACAGGATATCTTGCAGTCGATTGTCACGCTTCTCTTACGAAACGTTCGACGCCTACGCCTTTGCGCGAAAACCACGGAGGCCGCGGTCCATCGACCACTCCGTGTCGCGTCTTCCAATGCCTTCCGGTCTTCCGGAGCTTCTCCTTGGCCCCCGCAGTTTTAATTTCTTGTTACGCGATTCTTCGCGACACCGTGTGAGAAACGACCGCGTCCGCGAGGACCGTCGACGCTCGGGATCCTGTTATCCTGGCTGGCGTAGAACGCGCGGCGATATCGCGGGACTCGCGACGTCCTGGATCAGCGGACGTCGTTCCTGAATTATGGGGTCCTGGTGGCGCGGATGCTTCTGGCGCCACACGGTTGACGAATGACGGGACGTTGACGGGTCCCCGACGGACGTCGCGTTCCTTCGTACCCAAGTCCGTCGAGACGACGGTGAATTTCGTCTTGCATGGGGTCCTGGTCGATGGAATACTTAACCCTTGCAAGCTCGTCGGAGCTTGACGGCCAGACGGCGAAGAGGGTCCATTCGTCCTGGAATTCCCGCTCGCATGGTACCCTAGTGCAGTTGGGTATTTGTAAGATACAAGCGCGGACGTTTGAACGTCAAAGGGACCAATTCCAGGGGCGTACGGTCGCTAACCTGCGAGTATTCATACAATTAGATCCAGAAATACGAATACCTCGATATTGCTCACTTCCCAGACACTGTACAAGTTGTATTTCTTCTAAACTTTACTGCTTACTGTGTACTATCCAGCTCTGGTAAAGAGTTAGGAAGGACAACGTCTCGCGATTTCCGGGATAGCAAGGTGGTACGACACTGACGAGCTTGATCGGACGCAACAATTGTTACAGAGTTATGCGAGCCTAATGCATCTGTGGCTCCGTTGAAAAAAAAAAAATGTTTCTGCGCATGTATGGTGGACGTTCCATTTTCAACGCATACTCGTGACGTGCACGAGGTGTAGGGTTGCAGGCTCGCCAGCAGGATGTCGGGCAGGATCAAGGACATCCTGCCAGCCCGCGTTTGCTTCCTTGCATCCTAGTACTCGAGCTCGTTTCGTCTTTTGAAGTCCTATTTATTGACCGATACATGCAAGTTAGCTTGCCAGCGTAACTTTATTCCGTCGAGCATCGATCTGCTCCCATCCGTTAATCGCTTGTATTTAAGACGCTAAATTTAATTACCTTTGAAATAGTTACCGCGGAGTAATTCAAAAGTCGAACAATAAACTCTGACGAAGTCGGAAGACTCGAAGTCGAGCGCGGATCAAAAGAGTCGACGTGATCAAAGTTCTTAAGAAGCAATCGTCGAGTTTCCAGCATCATTGCAGTTCTTTCAAGCGTGTTTTATTCCTGTGACATCAGCTAATAATGAAGGATCCGATCCTCTAAAGACTACGTTCTCGGGGAAACTGTTGCCCTGAAATGACGATAAGGACTGCTATTTATTTGTATAGTTCAGACGTTCGTTCATTAGTTTTGAGCTTTCTCTCGCGATTTACGATGTACTTTGTAAAAAAAATTTATTTATTTTACGTGAAACTTCCTGGCGGTCGACCTCCAGTCGTTTCTAGTTTCCTAAACTTCGACTTCCTGTTTCCTTCCGGTCTCCACGCCGTTTCCCGGAAAAAGCACGGATCGATACCTGGCGCCGAGTGCTGGTGTTCTCCCTTCTCGCTACAACGACAGATCTTAAAGATTGTCTTAAAATCGTGTGATCTAGAATCAAGTATTTCAGCTACATTCATCGTTTTCGCGACTAGGCGATGTAGAACTTACGTTTATCGAAACCCCGAGCAAAATTTCGAATCGTTACAAACACCCCCCATCGATGATTCGATGACGCTTACAACAAAATTCTCGTCGACTGTGTTCTCCTAGTACAAATCACATAGATTGTAATTCAACAAATTCCTCCCCTCGAAATAAAAGTCCTGTCGATCGGAGGGCGAGGCAGCCAGGATCGCATCCCTCGTAGTCCTGTGCGTATCCTGTACTCGCGTGCAACCTATCCCGCCCTATACGCCCTTGATCCGGAAATATGCTTCGCGTTTGAAGCAATTATTCCTATTAACGCAGGCGTCGTACCACCCTTAATTCAACTCGATCCTCTCGTTCCTGCCTTTCGACTTCCGCGCGGTTGTTCATCGCGACATTCCATAGCGTCACACTCGTAAGATCTGTACGTAATGAACGCATCTCTCATATTATCAACGTAAAATTATAAAATGCTAATTAAGTCCTTGTCGGATTATCAAGGCTACAGTGTCCACCCTAGTTTTACAGTCTCGCTGAATATATTCGTTGCATCGTAATGCAAGGTACTTCTCAAGCTTCTTAAGGATTCTCGATGCGTCAGTTCTGATTTCACGATGACGTGGGCTTCGACGTCACGGTCAAATATGTATTACGCCAGTGACGTTGCGAAAACGAGATGCCTGAGGTGACAGGATAACAAGAATCGCTAGAAGTATCCCATTTTCCACCCTCGCGGAGGGTGAAGCGTCACCGATATCCCGTTTTAAGGTCCATCCCCTATATACATATACTGATACGCATCAATAACATTCGTGCTCAAAGAACAATGGTAGAAATTTAATATCTCAAAACAGGATTTTAGCAAGTAAACCCTTCTTCCTAACAGCTGAGATTGTTAGATGAAGGTGTACGTAGGTTCTGGCGCGCGTATATCATCGAACACGCTGGAATCGGGTTCGTCGTCTGGATCGAATTCAATGTCCATTGGATCGATCTCAGGCGGAAGTGTCGGTACCCTAAGCTGCGGGTTCGGAGCTGGACGCATCAAACTTGCTTCGACTTTTTCCCGAACGACTTTCTCCTCCTCGTTCCCATCGATTTTCACCGCGGATTCGCCCGCGTACTCCATCATATCGGCTACGTTCTCCTCGTACTCTTGAAGCTGCGATTAAATAATTGCAATCGCGATCAAGGACGCGAGTGGTAATTCCAACAGACGCGTTCTTACATCTCGTTCGACGATCAGTCTGTAATCTTTCGGATGTAGACCCAATTTACAGTCATCTATACCGACGTAACTATTCGCGGACATGTCGTGCTTGCTACCAGTGACGATATTGTACCGGCGATTAAGCAACCTTCCTCTGCAGACATCACCGTTTACCTCCACGAATATCACCCTGAAATATTCGGTATACCGAAGAGCATTTTCATAAATAAATATTTTAAATAAACTGATGCACTAGCGTGACACCTGTTAGGAGGAGTGGGACTCAGATCTAGCAACTTGAAATCTTCCACCGATTTTGGATACCCGGTTAACACCCAACCGCTTTTCAAGCACTCGTACCCGGATATGTGTTTCTAAAAGTTATAACATTTGTATACACGCTTCGAAAGGAAAGTTCCATTTGTTAATTTTGTCATACTTCGACGATCTGCATCTTAATCTCGGACTTAAGTCTTCCTCTGCATTTATTCTCGAGCGATCGGAGCTTTTCACCCAAAGGATTCTGTTGCAAACATGCCTGTTCCGCGACGTAATCGTAATCGACTATAAAAGACAATTGTTTCTTTAACGCGCGAGTAATTACAAAGCAATCGAAAAGACAAAATTACTGTGAATAAGACTGAATCGTTCGGCCAAGGATTTTGCTAAAGTGGTGCAACCGGATCCTCTGGATCCAATCAGCGCGATTCGAAATGGCGACAGTGCTTCGGAATGCTTCTTTGTTTTCGCTAATATCGCGCAATCTCTTCCAAGTTCGTCGACGGTTCTGATTCCGACCTCGACTTCCTTAAAATAAATCATTCTTACACCATTGTATAATTATAGAATTCTTGTAAAAGATCCAACTAACTATTAAACAATTTGCGTAAGCCTCCCGTAGTTCCCGCAATTTTTTCAAATAACGTTTCTCTTCCGACTTTCTCGCAACATTCGGGTCACAAGCTTGGCAGCAATTGGCGCCTGCACAAATATGTTCCCAATTATCTGCAAAAAAAATCGCGATAATTGATCTGATCTAGATAGCCGTGGAGCGTCGAGCATTTACCGGATTCGTTCGGAATTATAAGCTGTATAGCGTGTGTTGGTAGTATTCCCAAACGCTGGAACACTCGTGCCTCTCTCTTTGATCTTGGTAAATCTGTACCGTAATCAGAATACGAGAAAACGTCATGAAAGATTACTTTTAATCGTTATTTTTTTTACCAACAAGAAGCCATCCGCATTCGTGTAACGTCCCGCTTTCTAAAATTTGCCTCATGGCCAATGCAAGATCTTCCGATTCCTCGCAATGGCAGACATTCTATCGAAACAAAACGTGTTCTAAGAGAAGGAAAGAAAGAAAGGCTTCTACGTAGTCTTAGCTTACGTCTTCTATGGCACACGCTTTTCGAAGGTCTTTCAAGGTCAATGGACGGACACCTAACTCTTCCTGAAGAACTTTCGCTAGAGCCATTCTATCTACTCGTGAGAAACATGTTTAGTCGGTCATTAAATACACTTCAAATACCTATTTCCTTCCTTAAATCACGTTACCAAATCTTGGAGGTGCGATCAAAATAATTTTAGGGACATCCAACCTTTTCGCGGCAAGATGGACGTACTGCTTCATAAATGCAAGATGATTCTCCGGTTTTTTAATTATCAACTGCGTGGCAATGTCCTGTTTAGAAAGATCGATGTATCAAAATAATCCATAAATATAGTCGCGATACATAGAGGTTATTTACGTGAAACAGTTCGTATATGCGGTGTTTCTCTAAATATGCTAGAAAGCGTGCATTGATGGAACGCATTCGTTTTTCCGCTTCCGGCAATTTCGACATTTTTCGTAATTAAATAAAAAACTTGATCGCGTTTGACCGTTGTATAACGATCGCTATTATTTTCTATAATGCGTATAATCTAAGGAAATCAGTAGAAAAGCTCATTTTTTTACATGAAAACTTGTGGAACTATGGAAATTATGCCCACTGCATTATACCTAGAAACACTGCAATATGCTAAAATGTGTTAAAGGTTGGATGGCGCCACGTGTTTTGCGTTTTTCGTCTTTCGTCACTGCCAGGCATTGCCAGGAAAGTGCGGAAAAGTGAGGTTGGGAAACCAGATCTTACACGTTCCAGTATGTCAACCGATAAAAAGACGTCAGATATTACGAAGAAAATGTCCGAAATGAACGTGGAGGAACCTGAAAGAAAGCTGACGCACAAGGAAAAGAAAAAATTAAAGAAACAGCAGGAGTATGAGAGAACTATGGAGATGTTAACGAAGACCGGTGGTCAGGGTCACAGCGAACTCGAGTCCAATTTTACTGTGTCCCAGTCTCAAACCCAGCAACGCACTAATCAACAATTAGAACATGCCGTCGACATCAAGGTGGAAAATTTCAGCATTGCTGCCAAAGGAAAGGAGCTCTTCACTAATGCCAGTCTATTAATTGCACAGGGTAGACGTTACGGTTTGGTAGGACCAAATGGGTGTGTACATTTGAACAGACCGTTCGACAAAATGCACTTTCGATGTGTTAAATTCTTGTTCCCGTTTCAGACATGGCAAGACTACTTTATTGCGTCACATTGCGAAAAGAGCATTTGCCATTCCATCTACGATAGATGTATTGTACTGTGAGCAAGAAGTTATCGCCGATAATACTCCGGCTGTAGAAGTAGTACTGAATGCAGATGTTAAGTGTAAAGCGTTATTAGCAGAGTGCAAACAGCTGGAAGAATTAGTGGAACAAGGAGATAATTCTGTTTTAGGTAGGCTGGACGAGGTAATATTCTTATCTGTTGCATTGTATTTAAATATACGTATCTGTATTTGTAAATATATAAACATTTGATCGAACAAATCTCTGTACGTAGATTTACGAAGAACTGAGAGCTTCGGGTGCAGATTCTGCAGAGCCACGGGCTAGAAGAATTCTAGCTGGTCTAGGATTTAGTCGTTCTATGCAAGATCGCGCGACAAAGAACTTTTCTGGGGGTTGGCGTATGCGCGTTTCTCTTGCAAGGGCACTCTTCTTAGAGCCTACTTTGTTATTACTCGATGAACCAACAAATCATTTAGATTTGAACGCTGTTATCTGGTTGGACAATTACCTACAAGCATGGAAAAAAACTCTATTAATTGTTTCTCACGATCAGAGCTTTTTGGATAACGTTTGCACGGACGTGATTCATTTGGATCAGCAAAAGCTATTTTATTACAAAGGAAATTATAGTATGTTTAAAAAGATGTATGTACAAAAGCGAAAAGAGATGATAAAGGCATACGAAAAGCAAGAAAAACGGTTGAAGGACCTAAAAGCCTCGGGGCAAAGTAAAAAACAAGCAGAGAAAAAGCAAAAAGAAGTTTTAACCAGAAAGCAGGAGAAGAATAAAACAAAAATGCAAAAGCAAGAGGATGACACGACGCCTACGGAATTGTTACAGAAACCTAGAGAATATATAGTCAAATTTAGTTTCCCTGATCCACCCCCTTTGCAACCACCCATTCTTGGTCTTCACAGTAAGTTATAAATATTGGAGTTGCCCAACATCTCTATAAAGATAAATTTAAAATTAATATTTTATCTTAGATGTCTATTTCGCGTACGAAGGACAACAACCATTATTTATTGATGTTGATTTTGGAATAGACTTAAGTTCTAGAATAGCTATAGTAGGACCTAATGGTGTTGGCAAATCCACATTTTTGAAATTATTGACTGGAGATCTACAACCACTGAAAGGAGATCTAATAAAGAATCATCGATTAGTAAGTAGGCCTTTGCATTTACTTACTGTTTGAAACATAAAGAGAATTTATGTATTGAATTACTCTTATCATTTTTAGAGGATAGGTAAGTTCGACCAGCACTCTGGCGAACATCTAACCGCTGAAGAAACGCCGTCAGAATATTTAATGCGTTTGTTTGATCTTCCATACGAGAAAGCTAGGAAACAATTAGGAACATTTGGACTGAGTTCTCACGCCCATACAATTAAAATGAAAGACTTGTCAGGAGGTCAAAAAGCACGTGTCGCTTTGGCAGAATTATGTTTAAATGCACCCGACGTTGTAATTTTAGACGAGCCGACGAACAATTTAGACATAGAATCTATCGATGCTCTGGCTGAGGCTATTAATGAATATAAAGGGGGAGTTATTATCGTTTCTCACGATGAGCGTCTAATCAGAGATACAGAATGTTGTTTATACGTAATTGAAACTCAACAGATCAACGAGATCGATGGAGATTTCGATGATTATAGGAAAGAACTGTTGGAAAGTCTAGGAGAAGTTGTTAACAATCCAAGTATAGCTGCAAATGCTGCTGTTCTACAATAATCATTTTGCCTTTATAGAACAGTTATACTCCAGTGGCCTGTGGAATCGATCCCTTCAGACACGAATATTCATCCAGTATATTAAACGCTTTTTACATGTTAGTTTTTCCCCATAAAATTATTAAATTCTGATCGTCGATTTTAAAATGCGATTATCAGTGCTTCGAATACAAAAAGGTGGATTAATTTACGTTTAAAGGCATACAGAGTTGAAAACGTTACGTCTGATAGGGTTAAAAATATTGTCAAATTGTAATAAATTCGTAATATACGATCTCTATTTGAGCTGCAAATGTCATACCAATGGAAAGTTACAAAGTACCTAATAATCGCTTCCGAAATGATTTCTATTATTAGCAAAGGTTAAAGTATTTCGAACATTTTAATTTTTCATGTCTGACAATTGCAATTCAAATCGATTAGGAAATATAATTCGAGTCTACGAAGAAATATTTATATACATATGTATTATGTTCTGTACAGAACTGTATTTTGTATTATAAATATTTACTTCATGTTTGAATGGTAAAAAAATAAAAATTATTCACAGAATCGCTTCTAATTAAATAATATCTGCACGTGCATGAACATTGTGTCTACGTGTAAATAACATAGTCACCTATTAACGTTCTATATTCCGTAGATGTAATAATTTTTGTCAAAAGGAATTCGAGAAATTTTCTTATCACGGACCGTTCTAGTGATTTCCAAGAAATTGAAAGAGAGTTGGTTCTACTGAAATGCGTATAACCGGCGGCGCAATGTTCGCTGCCAAAAGGGGCAGACGAGTGATGTGAAAATTGTCAAATATTTTGTGCGAGGTGGTGTCCCGCGGTGAACTTGATAGTGTTATAAAAGATCGTCGCGATGTCCAGTACCCTGGAAAATAAGATTTTGAATTTACAAGAGCGTCTCAGAGCGGAAAATGAATCGAGAGACAGGGACAGACAGAGTGGCGAGGTTGGATCAGGAACGGGCCTTCAGTCGTCATCCACGGGAACTGTCTCGACTTCTGCCTCACGACGTGAGTTCGTTTTAAATATTGTTCGCGAGCGTAAAGAAATTTTTCTTTACCTTTTTCTCGGAAGGTTTCTAACGTAATCGCAACATTTACCACTTGTCGTACAGGTTATGTTGACCATCACAATTTATTCTGTTGATTCTATATATCATACACTTTTCGTTTCCTTGTTTAACGCGTAGTTTGTTTTGTTCGAATTGTTTGCGTATCAAACATTATACAGGACGATATTTTTATATTTTGGTCGATAAATCGGGTTTCATAATAAACGGAAATCCGTTTAAACGAATCATATAAACAAAAACAGTGCACTTATTTCTTTTTAAAGAAATGGTTTCTTTGTTTAAACGGTTCTAAGTTATTTTTTTATTTCCAAAACTGCTATTTGTTTTTGGTAGTTTGAGTACGTTTTGTATTTGTAATGAAAGTTGAAAATTGTTTTAATAATAACGGAAGTGAAATTGGACGCAAGAATGATACCTGACCTTCTTGATACAGCTCCGATCCCAACTTTGAAAGTCTCACAGATACCTCCAAAGAAACAAGACAGCGAATTTGAGTCGAAATTACAAGAAATCATGAAGATGAATGGTATTTTGAATATCAATGGACAGAGATATCAAACTGAAATGAAAGACTTGGAACACCTTGGTGAATTGGGAAACGGTACCTGTGGACACGTTGTTAAAATGAGGCATAAACCTAGTGGTGTACTCATAGCTGTAAAACAAATGAGACGTTCTGGTAACGCGGAAGAAAATAAAAGGATAATTATGGATCTTGATGTCGTATTAAAATCGCATGATTGTCCATACATTGTGCAATGTTTGGGATGCTTTATCACAGAGTCGGATGTGTGGATTTGTATGGAATTAATGGCAACTTGTTTGGATAAATTATTGAAGAAAACTAGGCAAGCAATGCCGGAAGAATTTTTAGGAAAAGTTACAGTAGCAGTAAGTGATAGCAAATGTTGTAAATTTATCTTTAATTCTATCAGGAATAACGATTACATGGAAAATTATAATTTCGTAGACAGTAAAGGCATTGTCATACCTGAAAGAAAAGCACGGTGTAATTCATAGAGATGTGAAACCTAGTAATATTCTTCTTGACGAAAGGGGAGGAGTTAAATTATGTGATTTTGGTATATCCGGTAGACTAGTTGATAGTAAAGCAAAAACTAGAAGTGCAGGATGCGCTGCTTACATGGCTGTAAGTATACTCGTTTAATATCACATTATAAATTTAAGCTATTTTATGTAACATTTTCTTCAAACTTTGTATAGCCTGAAAGAATAGATCCTCCGGATCCAACAAAGCCAGATTATGACATAAGAGCAGATGTATGGAGTTTGGGTATTACTTTAGTAGAATTAGCTACTGGAGTGTTCCCCTATCGAGATTGTAAGACTGATTTTGAGGTAAATAATATGTACATAATAGCACTTTGTTTGCTCAAGATAGCTGTTACATCGTTATTAAAATTTATAGGTACTGAGCAGAGTAGTACAAGATGACCCTCCATCCCTTCCATCAGATGCACTATTTTCTAAGGAATTTAGAAGTTTTGTGTGTTGTTGCCTTACAAAAAATTATAAACATCGTCCGAAATATCACAAACTCATGGAGCATTCTTTCATACGAAAATACGACGTACCTCAAGATGACGAAACAAACTCTTCTGTTCTAAATTCTGGCTGCCAATGGTTTGGCAGAGTTATGCGACAATTAGAACCAAGGTAAATTGTTATTAACCATACTTATAGTAAGCACTAAAATGTAGTTTTCAGGTATTACATAGGATACTGTTGAACAAAAAACAAAAATATATACGACATCATGAAATATGGTAGACACATTAGAAAAGACCATTATATAGAAGTGAATAGAGTTTTAAACATGGCATGAAATTCCCAACTAATATCATAATGATTTGGTTTGGTTTGAGAATAACTGGGTATTGTTTATTTTTTTTTTTTTTTTTATATTAGTTTTAAAAAATGTTAACACACTTCAGTATTCATGGTTAATGGGTAGGTATTAAAAACGGTTCGAAAAATTATGAGTTTTAAAGTTGGGTTTTTGTTGGATATTAGTTTTTTACATATTTATCTTTTATTAATTATCAAATGACATTTAAAAAACCTGTCCATACATCTCGATTAAAAGTTTGCGTGCGTGTTGAATTGTGTTGCAGCGTTGAGCTTGAGGGAGGCAGCGCAGCATAGCATCCCCTCTCTCCCTCGCCCTCGCCCCTTCTTCCATTTTCCTTAAAAATCTATCCAAAAATTCCAAAAAACTTAAAAAAAATAAACCTCACAAAATATCCAAAAATCTGCCCGATTTTCATTTCAAGTTGTTTGGTTTGTGCACGCGCCTGTTACACACCCCACCTTTCAACCCCCACTCATGGTAAGCATTGTTTTTATTTATTTGAATATTTGTTTATTTGTCTTTATATTATGTAGCGACTTGCCGGTCATGTGGCACAAATAATTTTTCCCTGTGCACACTCCATTCATCGAAAAAAAAAGAAACTATAATTCATTTTATGTTTATATACTTTTATCCTTCTTTTAAGCCATTAGAAAGTTTCAATTGTACGTTATTAGTTGTGTTTTTAGCATGTAACATTTTACATTTTTTTTAGTTCCGAACACAGATAGTGTCTATGATTTGTTACCTTAGAAAAGAATTCCTCTATCCTCGTCTGTGTTGCATGATATTTGATTAACGCTCTAACTTCTATTAACTCTCTGCAGACTCAGATTTTTTGCAGAAACATCGTGGCACATTTCTCTTAGGTGGCAGTTGCAATCGCAAATGAATCGTGCCACTATACGGGCGTCAATAATTTCCGATCGACGATACAAATATTAAACTATACAATTATAGTTTAATATCGTGCAATTCAGTTTCAGATTGGCAGGATGGCAGCAGCGAGTTACTGGTCATGTATCTCTAAAACAAACAGCTCATCTCAGGGCTCAATCTGAAGTACCAGCTTTCTTACGAAGCAATGTCACCAAAGACTCACAGAATTCCAGTTTTCTGCCATTTCATCAACGATCAAATAGTGAGAATGGTGCAAATTATGTATCTTATAGTCCATACGTGCTTAGACGAAAGGAAATCTCCAGGCCGTTTTCTCCCCCTACGTCCAATGATGTGGACATATCGGAAACGAATTTTCAACGATCGTATTCACCGTATAGACAACATGTCGAACAAAATAGGGACTATTCTTCGAATCACTGTTCGACTAATGGACAAGGTAGACAAGAAGGAAGACCGTTTTCTCCTTATCGACAGGATGCCAATATAGATACTGGGAGTAGACTGTATTCACCATACCACGGACGCTTTACAGAAGATCGAGACACCAGCAAAGAACGATGGCAAGGTGTTTCTAGATCATTGAGTCCGTTTGCTCGTGACTATTCGCCATGGAGGCGAGAAAACGTTGATCCTCCGAACGTAGTACAACCAACAGAAAGTGGTCGTTATTCACCATTTCTTCAACAACGACTAGGACAAACTCCACCTGTGCCTCAAACTCATCCGCAATCGCAAGATATTTATGGTAGCCCTATGATTAGTCGTAAAAGGTAATAGTCAACGAGAAGATGATGTTACCAAACATAATTAATATTGTACATTAACTTCAACTTATTCGTTTAAATACAGGTTTCCTTCTGAACCTCCTCCACAAGGATCTCATGGTTCTACCAGTCCCGAATTATTAATTTCCCGTTTTGCACATCAAATGAAGCAAGATCCCCCGTCTGCTATGCCACCAACTCAGGGTGGATCAAAAGAATCCGCTAAAAAACGTTTCGCTTCTTACGTTCGACTTAGGCTTGGAAGTGAACGAGCACCTTCGCCGGAACCACCGCCAAGACTAAGTCGCGGTGAATCCCCGCTTGCTATTAGAAGGAATTTAGTGGATCAAGCATCGCCTTCTTTCGCGCGAAGGTAGTATCGCTTCGGTTTGTTTCGAGGATGCATGCGTAGAATAAAATTTATTTGAAATGTTCCTTTGAAGGTACGCATCGTCTTCACCGCCGCAACCTCCGCCAAGGAGATTGTCGGAAAGCAATTCTGTGCCTGGTAGTCCTCAACATGTACGAGCTCGTCTACGTTACACCCCCGAACCTCAGAGAAGACCTCCGCCACCATAACCCACCGTTACGATTAAATCATATTCCTTGTTGGTGCCATATGCGATAAAAGTAACTGAATTAATCATATGTACCACGTAGAATGGTGTTGTAATCAACGATGGTCGTGCACATAGAGTGGTCTGTGCACAGTGTACTTGAAAACGATTCTAAACCAAAAAATAGTTGTTTGTAATACTCGGTGACACCGTGAACTATAATGTACGTATTTTAAACAAAGAGACTCGGATACGTACCGTGTACGATATTATTACCGAACATGGAGAGTTGTTCGTTAAAAAAGGGAACGAAAAGTTAGGCTCCTAGATTCGAGAGGACGGTCTTTGGGATTAAATAATCGCACGACTTTCTTTCGTGGCTGTAACGTAATGCGTTGAACTACTTTGTCAATAATTCTCTTGTCGACGTGTATTTATATAGGATGCAATCACCGATGCAATACGATGCTCAACTTTTTATATTGCTTGTAAAGATATAAATAAATGTAGTATGTTCGACGTTTTTCTAAAAAAAACACACAGGGAAAAAAAAACAAAAAAAAAAAAGATGAAGAAAATCGTTAATAGGAGATGCGGCATCGTACTGAATGCGTAAACCGTTCCTATCACTCTTCGTTTACGCTTCTTTTTTTATCGAGAGACATAAGCGAGAGAATATTTCGAACGAAACTCGCATAGGAGCTCTCTCTTCCTCGGGCGGCCTTGCAGTAATCTCTGCAACTCGACTTAGCAATGGCGACATTTTTCACGTTTCATTATCGTTTGTAATAATACCAAACGCATACGGCGATCGCAGTCAGGAGTCGATCGAACGGAAACCAAATCGTAAGAATTATAAACGACGTCTCCATGAGGAAAGCACAATATTCACGTCTCCTAGATTCTACGAATTTCAACAAATGTATATTATTTAAATAAGAGGCGTGTTTGGGCTAGAACGTTGTAATTATTATTTTTAATTAACATTTATTCATTAACATTGTTCAGTCTACACCCGTAATCACCTTTGTCGTTTATTTGACAAAAGGATCTGTTGCAATGTAAATAAACTTATATTTATACGATCCCCTTACTTTTTTTTTTTTTCACTTACGTACTCCACGTAAGATAAATCTTGGAATTCGAAGATATCTTGACGATATCTATGACTATTTCATGCAGTCGCAACCGCTTATTAGTTACCTGCAATGTATTTTTATCGTGTGCTGCCACGTAATCCTAAGCAATTTCTTTTTCTCGAATGCTCATGCGCGCAACCATTGTTGCATTGGAATGGTTTCGTTTAGCAGTAGCAAGTTCATTTATTTGATATATCATCGGAACTACGAAACGATAATATTAACCATTCCGTTTGAACTAGCAATCAGCTATATCGTCATTTTAAACAAATGCAAATATTAAATTACATTCAATATTAAAACAACGTTACATATACATTAGTTTTAGTTTTTTGTGCGTGAATGCATACATTAAAACGAGAACGATGAATTTATGCATACATTTGTAAATTCAACTGCAGCTTTGAACAAAATCACAGCCACACCAAGATAATTTCTAATTCTTTATCGACTTTCAATTGTGAATAAGTTCTAATCGAGAAGAAAATTAATATACATCGTGAAGAACGAACAAATAAATGTAATATAAAGGAAGGCGAGCAAACCGGAAAGAGCATTCCTCCATTCTAGTCGAGAGTAATGAATTACAGAAGAATTCATTATCTTTTTTGCTTTGAATGTATAGGTGCACAAGGCTTGCAATCGCGTATTATATAGATATGTATATTATGCCTTTCTCACATAATTGAGCTACATTATTGTTTCTCGTAAATGATATTGTATACCGAAAACATCGTTTAACCTTGCGAAACTAACAAAGAGTATATGATTTTCGAGTAAAAGGGCTCGTCGAAGATCATTTTAAAAATAAATTCTTCGCTCGAATCGGCCCGTCCCTGAGCAATCAATATGGCCTCCAGGTCTATGCGGGGCACGCCAGCGTAGTGTAGATATATTTCCGAAAATCTTTGGAACAAATGGTTTCTGTGATAATATAATTAGTCAGGTTGCTGGAAAGTGCACGGAGAGATATTTTCACGGTGCCCGTTTGGCTGTTAGTCACAGTATTCAGTCAGAAAGAAATACGGAAGGCGTGTTGCGCTACCGTTGTAGCTACTCGCACTGTGCGGAAGACATCGTTGACGTTGGAATACATTTTAGTAGCCGTTCGACGTGTGGAAATTAATTCAATGTCTGCCTAAAGTTTGCGATGGGGTCGCCTTTCAAGTGTAAAGATTTCTAGTTTCCGCTTAGAAGATTAGTATTATTATGTCAGAAGTTAAAAGCAAGGAAACTGCCACGATGGAGGGTTGTCAAGAAGGGGGCGAAGAGGAAGGTACGATGGTTGCCGAGAGGGTCGAAGATAAGGTCAGTATTCAACAGATCCTCGAGGGCATGACGAATGAATTTAACAAGAGCGTGAGCCCGACAAAAAATGCTGAAATTAATCGATCGGAGATGTCGGATCACGAGGAAGTTGAAAAACCGGTGGTGGCTCCTGACGAAGTTCCAGCAATCGAGTTGGAACCCGTCGAAAATAAAGATGAGGAGGTAGTTCCTACGAAACAAAATACTAGCCCTAGTCCGGTAACAATAGACGAAAATCATAAAGAGGATGAGAATATTGGTAAACAAGAAATTTCGAAAAAAGATAGCAATGGAATACCGCGTATCGTTCTTACGTTTAGGACAATCGACGAGAATACCGATCACGGTAAAAAAACGAAGATATCAAGCTGTTCCTCCAACCTTACTTTAGTTCCTGATGAATTGGTAAATTGTGATCAGATTGGCGGTGTTTCTGTAAAGATCGAGAACTCTGATGAGAATTCTGATATTATTGAGAAGTCGGACTCAGAGGAAGGCAAAGTGGAAGAACCACCCAAAGATACTGAAAACAAAGAACCAAAGATGGACACAGAAGACACAAATGTAACAAAAGATGATACTGAGGTAGTGGCAGAAGTGAAAACCGTAGTTTCTGAGGAAAAAGCAAAAGCTGATGAAGCAGATGTAACTGTAGAACCTGCAGAACCTGCAGAACCTGTAGAACCTGTAGAACAGGTGGATCAAGCGGACAACACAGTCCCCATTACTAGGAAGAGAAGAATAGGACGACCTAGATTAAGAGCACTTAGGTTTTTTATTTTCCTTCATCTCAAATATATAAAGTATTATGTGGTGATATTTGTAAACATTCCATGACATTTTTAGTGACCAGACAGAGGAATCTCCAGGTCCTAAGCGTTCAGCAAGGAGATTGTGCAAAGAATCATTGAAGAGTACAGTATTAGAGAGTGCAATGGCAAGAAAAGAAAAGTCTAATTACACGGAGGAAAATTTGCAGTTTAAAAAACAAAGGAAATATAATAAACCAGGGAGGCCGAAGAAAGTGATCCAAGGAAAAGATCAGAATAAGCAAGCACAAACCAAGCCTCCCGATATACGTCAGGAAGCAGAGACTTCCATTACAGATGGAAACAGCAGTCTTTCTGAGGTAAACACAGCATTAGAATGTTCTAGAAATTCATCTATGTCAGAGAGTAATGCAAACGAAGCAATCTTGGATGAATCTCAAAATTTTTCATCCGACTTTGATGGTATGCCAAAATTGTCCCCTATGATAAAAAGCTCAGAATCACAAACAAAACTGAGTAACTCAATTGGCAGCCCCACGAGCGATGATGCACCACTAACAGATATTGAAAAGCCATTTTTAAAACCTGCCACTGGTAGACCTAAGCGAGAGAGAGGTCGACCTAGAGGAAGTCAGGGTGCAAGGAAAATAGCAAAGGCAGATTTATTTGAAGGTACACAAAAGTAGGAGTGAATTTGTATTATTATATTGTGATATATAAAAATATTCCTTTTAGATGGATCTGCATCGATAGCAGAGACAGGCAAAAACAATGATTATCCTGAAGGTAATAGTTCATATATTTTTTTATACGCATATCTTAAATAGAAGGGTTGTCTTCATTTGTACATACTTTGTAGAAGGCACTGTACCTGCTAAAAGGACAAGGAGAAGCATGGCTCCAAGTCCCAGTCCTGCAGAAGGACAAGCTTCAAAGCCAGAGTCAACAGCAATTATGAGTGAAGTTAGTATAATTGCATATATGTTTATTTATTTAATATGCTTGTTATATTTCCTATTTATGATATTTATATCTTTCAGCCATATGGTCAATCGATGCTATGTTTGTGTCAAATACGATCGCAACTCTATGTAACGATAACGGGTTCTGGAGCACCGTTGTATTGTACCGCGATAGATTCTATCGACAATAGATTGGTAGGATGCTGCAACGAGGTGGATAGCAACGACGTTGCAATGAGAAGACCTAGTACACGCGTTCCGTTTATAATTTTGTGTCGAATGCACAAGGAGAGACTGCTCAGACACAATTGTTGCCCTTCCTGTGGACTGTTTTGTTCCCAAGGAAGGTTCGTGCAGTGCGTTAATGGTCACCAGTATCACCGTGAATGTGAAGTTTATCCAAATAAAAAAGGGGTATGTCCACATTGTGGAAGCGAAAGTACCGCGTACGATGTAATGATTACCATGAGCGGTCTACGAAAACCTGTGTTCATTCCTACTCGTAAAAAATTTTCGAAACTGCCCTCCGCAAAAATAAGTCTGCCCGGGAAAGGTGACAACACAAAATTGGCAGAGCGTCCCCCAAGCCCTTTGATTCAACCCGATGTTATTAAAATACCCGAACCATCTGTTCATTCCGAGAGACCAGAACGTTACACTATCATGAGTCTTTACACATCTGTAAAAAATGGCGATTTAGAGAAGTTGGTTAATGTTTTAGGTAGACTATCATATTGACTTTACTTCCATTTTTAGCCGACGACGTATTAACGAATTAATAAATTCTGATGTTTCAGCATGTGGCTACAATGCAAACCATACATTCCGCGATTATGCTCATAGAACTGGACTCCATATAGCCGCGGATAAGGGCCACTTATCCTGTGTACATGTATTGGTACAAGCTGGTGCTCAATTAGACGTGATGGATAGAAATCAGTTAACTCCTCTGATGCTAGCCGCTAGCAAGGGTAAAGCTGACGTAGTAAAATACTTAATAAGAATAGGTGCTGATGTTACATTGAAAGGAGAAGATGGTATGACCGCTTTGCATATGGCTGCCAAATCTGGCCATTTGGAAGTTTGTCGGATAATTTTGACGGAATGTAAAGCGCCAAGAACATTAGTAGGTAATGAATTTTGATCGTACTATATACTGCTTGATTTAGTTTAACGATATATATCACAATAATTAACGTTAACCGGTTAGATTCGGTGGATGATGGCGGTTGGACGAGTTTAATTTGGGCATGTGAATTTTGTCATGCCGATGTAGCACGATTTTTGATTGACAAAAAATGCGATCCTTTAATCCGTGACGCGGAACAGAATATAGCATTGCATTGGAGTGCTTTCAGCGGAAGTTCCGAAATTACAGAAATGCTTCTTAACGAAGGTTGTGATGTGAATGCTGTTAACGTCCACGGCGACACGCCTTTGTAAGTTACATAACGTTTCCATTTTTTTTTTCTGTAATATGTGTAAAAACCTTAACTCTACCATCTTTCATATGTGATAGGCATATAGCTGCGAGACAAGATCAGTATGCTGTTAGCGTTCTGTTATTAGCTCGAGGTGCCAAGATAGGTGAAGTTAATACCGCTGGAGAAACAGCAGTACATTGTTGCACGAACGATGGAGATACTATGTCTGCTTTAAGATTAAATGCCAAAGTTAATGAACTTTCTGAACATATGTGGGAAAAAACAGTAAAAATTTTAACTAAGTGACTATCAAGTTTAATGTATCTTTATCTTTGACCGAGCAACGTTTGTAAACTGTACTTAATCATTTACATTTACAGTGATATCTCACGCGGTAAAGAAACAAATCCGATTCAATGCGTTAATGGATATGATTCCGAGGATAAGCCTACAGATTTCCTGTACGTGACTGAGAATTGTTTTACTAGTAGTATAAATGTTGATCGCACTATAACGTCTTTACAGTCTTGTCGATGTGAAGATAATTGCAGTTCGGAAAAGTGTTTGTGTGGAAATATAAGTTTAAGGTGTTGGTACGACGAAGAAGGGAAACTAATTCCAGAATTTAATTATACAGGTACATTAAATCCTTACCTCGAGTATTAAACTCAATACGTTTACAAATATGAATTAATATTTTTCATTCAGACCCTCCGATGTTATTCGAGTGCAATCCAGCGTGCGACTGTAATCGCATAACGTGTAACAACAGAGTTGTTCAACACGGTTTGACGCAAAGATTCCAATTATTTAGAACGCAAGGAAAAGGTTGGGGTCTTCGGACATTGCGACACATTCCCAAAGGTTCCTATGTATGCGAATATGTGGGCGAGATCATTTCCGATTCTGAAGCTGATCATCGAGAAGACGATTCATACCTTTTCGATTTAGATAATAGAGTAAGTATCGAGTATCTTACGTACACATTGGTTTATTGAACACAGTGCAAATTCTTTCTATTCATACAGGATGGCGAAACCTATTGTATCGATGCGAGACGATATGGAAATATTGCTCGTTTTATAAACCATTCTTGTGCGCCTAATCTCTTGCCAGTGCGAGTGTTCGTTGAGCATCAAGACTTGCACTTTCCTAGGATAGCATTTTTCGCGAATCGCGAGATCGAGGCAGACGAAGAGCTCGGGTATGTTACAAAAAAAAAGAAAAAAACAACTGATGCGCGAGAATCACAATACTTGTACACGTTAGAAAATGGCGTCACATGCTAATTTTCTTTAGTTAATAAACCATTTCACGTTTGGTTTTGGTGGGTCAATCGTTATCGCTGGTAGTTACAGTTTCTTCGCCTTGTTCTCTCTTAAAATCCTAGTTGGCATTCCGTGTCGGGGATGGACTTAAAATCGTTATTGTATTTTACCTTTTTCACTGATTAGTTTCGAGGATGGTAAGTTTGGAAGTTCGTGTTTATTTTGAACAGAGAAGAATGTATTGTCGGGACGTCTACTTTTCGAGCAATCGTCACAAGGAACAGTTGTTAATGCTAACATCGATTTTCATTAACTTCATTCAATTTATCATCGAAGATCAATCGGAATTTTTGCCTTCAGCTTCGATTATGGGGAGAAATTCTGGATAATAAAATGCAAGTCATTCACGTGTACCTGTGGAGCCGATAACTGCCGATACTCCGAGAAGACTATACAAGTTACATTGGACAACTACCGTAGAAAAATACAGCAAGAAGAAATGCTGGCAGCTCAATAGTCGTAAAACAATTTAGCTAATTTTATGTTAGTCTATCTTAATTATCACTTTAATGTTCTTCCTTCTTTTTACGCGAGGGTTTTTAATTGAGAATTTTCCAAATCTCGATTGGTGCGATCTTCGTAAGTGGATCGTAAATGTTGAAAGAGTACAAGTACAAAATGGTGGTGGGATTTAGATACGTTGCGAGGATTATTTAAAAGAATCTGACATTTTGTTATTTTAACTAAGAAGGAATTACGCTTTGTCTCTTCGAGTTCGCGAAGTCAAATGATTATACCTCTCTATTCTGTCGATTATTTTCCTAAGACGAATAGATTGTACGAGATGTGCCACTTTAAAACTTTTCTTTTCTGTTTTTTTTTTTAGAAAAGTAAACGATGTGCATAATATAAAACTGTTATATAGTTTTTCGTACGCGATGTACAGACTGTAAAGAAGTGTGTGTTAAATGTAACTACTATAGTTTTGCAAATGAAGCGAGTGTTAGGTAAAAGGGTAAAAGTAAACTAATCGATATAATCGAGTGCAAGTACAGTATGTTCGAAGCTTGTAACGAATTTCATATTACGAATAAAGTTACGAGTTTGTATGTTCGCTTATTCAGTTTTAGAGGGTGAATCGTTTACGAGTGTTCGATTTAATGCGAACAGTTTAGAATATAAGAGTACACCCTTTTGTACAAACTATTGATTTTTTTGTATAATAAAAGAGATGTAGTTCTTTTTAATATAATACCGTAGTTGCTTTGAATATACCTGGTTCAACAAACAGGTTCAAATTATTACTGTAACCCGATGTTGCATGCATTTTTATTGTTCCATGTCATTTGCCACTAGTGCTAGCAACGGTAAACCGATGCCCAAGGAAACTGACCTTCTGCATTTCGGGAATTCGAGAAAGAAGGCGAATGTGAGCCTTCCTTCTCGTTCTCGAAATAGCTGATATCTTCAATGACCTTTCAATGTACTTTTTCGGCCCATTTTTATGGGGTGTCGAGACTCCATTTCTTTCTTGCTTTCGAAACAGCTGAGGTACGATTTGTGTCAACCTGCGTATGATTTTGAGTCTCTACTGCCCAGGAATTTTTATTTTACCAACCCATGTATACCTATTACGCATAAACGAGGTAAAGAATAGACCTATCGTTGGTGGGATGAACGCTATCGCTGTACCACGAGTGTCTTATATGAGATATACTCTTCCAAAGCGGAACAAAATGTTAAAAAGATCATGCATCAAGTTGTAACAATGACCAGCTTATGGTCACTGGTGGTCAACAGTGTGGTTGACATCAGCGAAGATTCAGAAATGGTCAAGAGGTGGAACCGATCGAAATAGTTTCTTTGTACGCGAGATAGTCTTAACCGGTAACCTCAGCATTGGCTCTGACTGGTCTCCCCACCCTTTCCTTATCTTATCTTGGACATATAAGCGGAGTCACTGCGAAGCATTGTTCAGTCGCGTCGCGAATTCGGGAGTTGGCAAATAGCCAAACGCGAACCGGGGACCACTGCTGACCTCTGATGGCCGCTGCTGACCACTACTGGCCAGCGCTGACCATGGCTGACCACCACTGACCAATACTGACCACTACTGACCAGTCACGGCTAGCGTTCCTGCCACTACTGACCACTTACTGACCAGAGCTGACCACTACTGACCAGTGCCGGACGGTGATGACTACGGTAAGAACTGTTTAAAACTTCTCTCCCCTCTTCCATTCTATCGTTTGATACCAATTTCGCTTAAATGAACTGATTTTGCCCTGCTTGTCTAACTGCTGTTGCTATAATATGAATATTTTCTTACTTTACAGCTGTTCCAGTGGTAACTATCCCGTGTACTGACAACAAGTAGTAAGTCCACTCCACTCATCTATATTTTATTATTTTTATTTGTTTGTTCGATGTGAATTCAACTGTATTTATCTATCTGATTTGTATTTGATTATTATGTATGTCATTTTTCTCTGTTACTACTTGTACATTGTTCGTCGAATTTATGTTATTGCTTTGATATGTGTAATATTTCAGGATATAATAATGTAATATTGTCTTCCATCGTATACTACATTTGTTTCTATACAATTTCGTGAATTGTTATTCTTACGATCTTGCTCGAATTCGCTTTATATTCTGCGGAGGTACTTTGTTCGATTCTTCCATTTCGTTTGATTGTTTGGGGTTGATTCAAATCGATGTCTCGATCCAAGTTTCTTTCATTTCAACGAATTGGTCGTTTCGATATTTCTAACATTCTGTCGATGGACATACCATATTCGTTTCGATGACTGATCGATAGAAGATTTTTAGTTCTACGTTTCAGCTTAAATTCTTCTAACTTGTCAATATACTTTGTTCAATTTCCTTTAGCTAGGTGATAGATCATTTTTAAGTGTATATTAAATTTATTACCATATCTCACTAATACAAATATTAGTTCTGATTTCAGTTCAACATTTAGATCAATCGAGGGAGAACGCCACAATCGTCGGTGGGATTTTTAATTCCAAGTTGATTAGTCTTAAGCTTCCCCGCGAGTATTAAAATGAACGTCGAAGCCTTCTTTATTACACGTGGATCCGTGCTGTACCAAGCAATTATTCAATAAGTAGCTTCTCTCTTGTTCGTTCCCTCGTTCCTTGCTTCGATCGCATCATCGATTGGATCGTGTGATCGGCTGTGTATCTGGTCCGAAAGATCAAATCGCCTTCCCTTAGGTAGCTAGATCCAGGGAAAATGGTACTCTGCTGGAAGGTGTGGAGATTCCGTATCCTGCGGAATCGCATACCTTCCAGCGGAAGTCGACACTGAAACAGAGGTACTCTCTCTATGTCAGACAACTTGAGTCGGGTCCTTCGGGCTCCCGGCGGGTTGCGTTGGAGCAATGGAGACCTTAGATTCGGAGTCGCAGCCGTCCATTATCCCATAGAGATCTAGTTAGCAAGGGCAGTAGGTTCGATCCTCGGATCCGCTGCACGGTTCAGCGTCGCGACGCGTCGCGTGTCCCTCGAATTAACTTCATCCCTCTTTCTAACCAAATAATTGCTTGGTACAATCAAATCAGAACATCCGAGGAACTTTGTTTCCTTCTATCGTCCGAATTTTAGCTTCGACTTGACCAGACTCGAGCTTCGACGTTAATTTTAAGTCCCTGTTGCATATCGCCAAGTAATTATTTAACAAGTAGCTTCTCTCGACTCGTTCTCTGGTTCCTAGCTTCGATCACCGCTGTTTCATCGATCGAAACATGTGATCGGCCGTCCAGTTTGTCCGAAAGATCTAGTCGCCTACCCATGATAGATCGATTGCTAGAAATAGGAATCAATCTACCAAGGGCAGTGTTGATTCGATCCGAAGATCTGCTGCACGGTTCAGCATCGCGTCGCGTCTCCCATAATTTAGCTTCGACCCTTTTTTAAACGAAATAATTACTTGGTAGCTAAGCTTAGCTAAAAGGGAGATCGATGGAACTTTGATTCCATCTATCTCCCTTTGGGTCTCCGCTCGCAGCAACCTCCTCGTGGTGAGACCTGGGTAATATTGTTTAACGTTTAATTAATAATCGTAACGCTCTTACGTGGGTAATGCAATTATTAATTAAAATTCTAAACAATATTAGCAAATTGGCTGCGATCCGCTTGGCATAGATCATCATGAATATAGAGCTTCTTCGCTAGGTTAGTTTTAATTCTCATCGATTCATCAAAGATTCTAGAGACGAGGTATACGAGTAGATCTTTCGCCCCCATTTTTATCGAGTCTCGAAACCTCATTATCATTTTCCTGTCACAGATTTAGAAATGAATTTCAATCCTTGCATAATCAACTCACATGTAATTACGCACACGATACTAATTTAGTGAACATTGGACTGTGTAGGTAATAAGTTTTCTATGTTTGTTACCTTCGGTGGTTCTGTTGCACAAAGTTCGCGGAATCGCCGCTACGGAAGTGCAGCGTGCGCTGCAACACTGTTCGTTTCCGGAGTCGGTACTTCAGTACGCATTCACGGTCGTTCGACTGCCGGTCATACTTCGGTTTCAATAGAGTGCATACGAACGATACGAAAGATACGAAAGATACGAAAGTGTACGAACTAGGTGACCTGTTACATTTCTGTAATTCTGAACCAGATCTGAAACATATTTTAACAAGTAGATTCGAAATGCAATGCTTATGGCGTCGGTTGCGTGCAGCGTTGCGTCGAAAGAATCTTCGCAAGGACAATCGGGAAATAGTTTGTGCGTGCCATCAATGTTTGTAATATTCGTCCGATATTTGTGACATACCCGCTTCTCGTGTGTGTAAATCGGTCGTCGAGTCGTATGAACATATTCGTGCTCCTTTGTCCTTGAAAGAATCTCGCGCACAATATCACGATTCCACCACTCACCAGCACTAGACACCGATTAGACTCGAATTTCGCCGATTGAAACAGCGTGTTGTGCTCGCCCTTGAAACGACGAAAGATGAGATTACGCGATTATAAAAATATTTAACGACCGCGTAAAAATTGTACGAAAAAGACGATCGAGGAGAATGACCAGTCCGCGCGGTGATTGGCGGAGGGGGAACGGAACTGTAGGCGTAGGGGGCGCTGCATCGTACGGTGATTGGTCGTGGCGGTCGGGGTAGTCGAAATTCAAGCGAAGAAGCGGCAGTTAGTGTAGCGACCGTCGAGCGCTTGCAAGCGCTATACGTAGCTGCGTAGAATCATAGTGTCGTTTCGTTTTTTCGTTTAATCGTTCCGCGTTCCAACTCCCGCGCGAGTATTTTAACACGTTCGCGTCCCTTTCTCGCCTCTTTTTTTCGGTTTCTCGTCACTGTTCGCGCGCGGCTCCACGCTCTCGCGTTTTCACGTTTTAAACGCGGAGAACAGGGCCGAGTATATCGCGTCGACGCGATGACATATCGCGGCGTTACGGTGACATGTTCTGTGACAGTGAATTAGTGCTGGTGAGTGTCATCGAGGAGCGATTACTATGATGACCAGCTGACGGATAGATTCCTCTTCCACGTCCCTACGGCGTCAACGGGGTTGCCACAGGTACTGGAAGGTGAGCTTTGCATTTCATTTCGTAACTATCTTGCACTGTTTCTCCTTTTCTTTTATTATTCGATTACGAGAAGAAACACTGCAACTTTCGAAATATTTTTGCCTCCAGAGTTTTGAAATTGTTACATTTTCTTTTACTGTATTGGTTTCGTATCGATTCTATATCGGACCTGATATTTTCGAATCTAAATTGATTACACAATTTTATTTTTACTCTCCCCCGATTACCACTAAAAGTCTGTCGCGTTGTTCGCGGTCAAAGTTTTTTAATACCTCTGGAAACTTTGTCGATTAAAGGAATCAACGATTAATATTGTGGTCCAGCGAATCGAAGCTCTGCGGTCTGAGCTTGGTTCGAAATCTTCCTGTTGGTC